TTACTATATTTCCGAAGTTTTTGTCTCAAAATTGAAAGTGATTTAGAGTTATTTTTCGACATATTTTTCCTGGTGAGAAAAAAAAATTATAAAGAATTAGTTGCATCTAAACAAATAGAGGTGATAATTTTAAAAGAAAAAAGTTATTAATTACCTGCCATCTTTATCATCCCATACTTGATTAATAAAATCATCCATTTCAACAAGACAACGAAGATAAAATCTTGGAGTATTACCACTTTCTTCAATTGTTATTACCGGTAGAGCTTTACTGTAAGCTCTCATGAGTTCTTCAAAACCAGTTAACATTGAAGACATGTCTTTAATTTTTTTAAAATTTTTAATTTGTTTAATAAGATTCGTAAGTTCTTCATAACGTTTTTCTTTAGTTGATCTAACTATTCGTTTAGTTTCTTCTTCTTCATCGGAAAACTAAAATAATTTAAGGAAATAAACGAATAAATCATTTTTATTTTAAATACTTCCCTTAATATTTAAAGTATTTTATATTAAATATAAAATGGCCAAAAAGTAAGGTATTTCTATCCCGGGAGCATGGTTTTAAAACTAAATTCATAAATTTTACCGCATAAGCCGCTGCCGGCTGCCTCGGAATTTGCTCATCTTCAGAAGAACATTCGGTTTCCGAATCCGATGCTGTTGCAAAAAACCTACTCATATTTTTATTTAATAAAACACTTGTAAACAGTACTACTAATAAACCAATATGGAAGTATCAGTAAGCAACATTGCCATGCTGGTTAAAGGCATTTTACAGCGAAAGTTTTGGCTCCTAAATCGTAAACGGCTACAGTAAAACATTAAAATTAACACTTTCTTACTTAAACATACAATGCTTTTGAAAAATATTTTTTTAAAAAATATATGTAATTGAGATTGGCCCTAAATTTAAAAACATAATGACTTTAAAAAAGGCAATATTTTTTTAATTTATTTTTATCATGAATGAATAGCTTCAAATTTTTCAAAAATTGATTTGGCAAAAAATTACTTTATTATAAAATACTAATTGTCAAAAATGCAATTAGTATAAAAAAATTACAATTCAAATTTAAAAATCTATTTTTAAAAAAAAAATGTCACAATACACAATTATTTTGAATGTAACAAACAAATTCTTACAAATCATATTTATTATTTAAGAAGAAATTATATAGTCATTTTACAATATCTTGCAATACAAATACTAATTACTTAGCATTATTAATGCCAATAATATTTAAATCAATAATTTTAATAAACATTTGTTATTACTGTATTACTATAAATTGTAAAAACATACACCACAAAACCTGTGTGACAAAAAATGTACTCATTTTAAACTTCTTCAAGCAGTTTTGGATTTCAGACAATGAAAATTATACTGAATGCAAATATTTCGAATGTTTTTTAATTAATTAACAAATATTAAATTTATTCTATTGACTTTCATTGGCTCAAGTTTTCCTTTGAGTTCCTGTTCCAGTTCCAACCCATGTACGCCCTCCTCTTTGACTAGGTGTAGCTCCTGCACCTCTTCCTCTCCCTCTTGCAGCTAAAACAAAATAAAATTATGTATAATAACATGCATAACAATATTTCCTTTATGAGAGATAAAAATGTATAGAATACAGAGAAAAGTGTGTAATTTTACAATTTTCAAGACTTATACATACCCTGGGCGCGCAATATAGCAGACTTTCCTCGACCGGCTCCTCCAGAACCTTTTTGAACTCTTTTAAACATAGGTGCATTTTTTAACATGTCTGGTAATATCAAAAACCTAATTTTGGATCCCCTAATATAAACATTTTCTAACTGAGACACTTTACCATCTCTATAGGTCACCGAACAAGTAACCATTTGACAGTTCATATTATCTTCGGCTTCTATGAGTTTCCCTCTATAAACTTCCCCGGTAATCGTTTCACAAGTAACTATGTGGCCTTCAGCTTCATGAAGTACCTTAATTGGTACCCCTATCGACATTATAAATATATTTAATCTGTTAATTAAAAAAGAGAAAATACGATGCAAATAGATTAAATTCAATTCAAAAAAAATAGAAAAATAACAAACACTAATAAACGAAATGGCTTCTTGTTTGTTTCAAAACAACGGTTTCAACTTGAGGCCAACAACTTTGCTATAAAAGGCAAAGTTTGCAAACAAAGTTAAAGTGACAATTATCTTCGTTAGTATTTATTTTTGTAATGTTTTAAAGTTATATTTTCTTTAGAATTATGAATCATTCTCAATCTGAAAATGATGGTTAGTACAATCATTAGTAAATTATTAAAAAATTGTTTATTAATAATTATATCTAACTTGATGTTTTTAAAAATTTTTAAATAATTAATATTTTTATTAATCAATACACTTATTACAGGAATCGAAGAGTACGAAATAAAATTGCCTCACTACAGACAAAAAAATACTTGGGATTGTGGTTTGTCGTGTATTATGATGATATTATCTGAAAAAAATAGACATTTTTTTATTGAAAACTTTGATGAAATTTGTAAAGGTGAAGGTTTTGGGAAAAGCACTTGGACAATTGATTTGTGTTATCTAATGAAAAAATTTTCTTTAAAATTTATTTTTTATACAGCTGTTATTGGCATTAATCCTCATCATAGCACACACTTTTTTTATGAAAAAATTCTACCAAAGGTAATGTATGTATGTTTTAGTGATTGTTAATAACTTATCTGTGATTATTTTATTTTTTTGACAATTTCAAAAACCTAAAATATTTTTAATAGAAATTTCAACTTGTAAAACTATTGAAAACTTTTTATTGTAATAGGTTTGAACATTTAAAATATTAAAAACTTATATATATATATATATATATACATATAAAACTTTTTAAAATTTTATTTTATAACCTGCATATTACTTGCTATATTATCAAGTAATAAAAATTGATTTGCACATTCTAAATTTAATAAAATACTTTTTATTAAAAATTTTAGGATGAAAAAAGGGTAATTCAAAGATTTCGAGATGCCAAAATAAATGGCATTGAAATAAAAGAAAAATCGATTAAAACAAAAGATCTTATCAGCCATTTAAGGCGATATGGTCCGATTATATTGTTAATAAATGCAGAATATTTAACTTGTGATCGTTGCAAAAAAAATAATATTATATCAAAATTTTCAAATTGTATGCCTCAAGTTATTAATTATCATGGGCATTATATAATACTTTGCGGTTTTAATTTAAAAAATAAACAATTTTACTATAGAAATCCAGCTTACTCAAATAGTAAGTAAATTAATAATAATATTATAAGTAGATTAGAATTTACTTATTTTTATTTAACATTTTTTTTTTTTTTTTTTAAATAAATATTTTATGTTAGTTAATATAGGTTAATTTTACAAGTTTAAATTAAATTAAATTTTAATTTTAAAATGTCAGAATAAACAGGGAGGTTACAGAGTATGTTTTCATTAAAAAAAAATTTAAATATGAGCTCCAACTTATTTTTTAAATATAATTTTTTAGGAGTATGTGCAATGGAATATTCTGCTATGAACAAAGCAAGACTATGTTTTGGAACAGATGAAGACTGTATATTTATTTTTAATAACTAATAATGAAATAAACCTATTCAATTTTAATTAATTCCTTGAATATTTTTTAGTGCAAATCATTAATTTCACATTATTTTTTTTAATCATAAAGTCTGATAATCTTTATAAGCAGCTGTATTTTTCATTTTATATGTATATAATATACATTTATTAGTGGGTATATTTTAAAAATTTATATTAGTAAAGCTAGATATTTTAATATTTACTTAATGAATGTATACATGAGAACAGTATACATTGTCACAGAGTAGTGTCATCATTATATATATTTAGTCATATTAAAAAAACTTTTATAATAATTTCTAATAATTTTCAAGGTTTTTTAAAATATAAACAATTTAAGATAAAAAAACTTGATTTCATTTTTCTCATTATTAGAAAATATTATAGGAAATGTATGTACAAATTGTAATTTGATTTATTAGAAACTAAGTTTTTAAGGAAAATTTTTCTTTCGAGTAGATAAAAACATTTAATTTTAAATTTTTATAGTGATAAGGAATTTTTTGTTAAAAAATTTATACAATTGTAATTGTTTGTGCCTTCAATTCAATATAAACTCTAACGGAAAAATTAATTTACTTAAAATTTACACTAAAAAAAAAAAAAAAAAATTTTTAAGTACATTATCAAAGACTGATTGTAAAAATAATAAAAGTATTTTTTTTTTTTTTTTCATGTAAATAATGCATATGTATAAAAAAATAAATAGAATGTTAATATTAGTCAAAAAAAAAAAATAAAATGTTATTTCTGAATAGTACAATTGCTTACAAAATAATAATTATTCCAGCAAAGTTCAAAACACTTTTTTTATATATTTTTTTTTCACAAATATATATATATTTTCTGGATATTATTTCATTTGTACGTTAAAATTTTGTAAAAAAAAAAAAAAAAAAAATGATAAATGTAAATATAATAATTTTTTTTTAAATTTAATATTTTGTTTTAATTTTTTTTTTTTTCCCCCCTCCTTTAAATGAAACAAGTTTTAAATTATAATTTATTTTAAAACAAATTGAAATTTTAGTATGAAGTCAAAGGTAATTAGACACATAATTTTTTATTTATTCATGAAAATATTATTTTTTTAAAAAAAGTTATTAATCAAAATAATTTTTTCGTATCGGTCAAAAATTAGGAGGTAATAATTTTTTTTTTTTTTTTTTTTTATAAATTCATAATTCAATTTAATTGGTTAATTGAGATATTATTTAATTGTATAAAAATTTAATTAAAATTAAAAAATTTTAAATTTTTAAAATATTCATTCACAATCATTTCTAAATATTTTTATAAAAAGAAAAAAAAAATTTATTGTATTGTTAATCAAACCTCTTACTTTTATGTTTTCAAATTGAATTTGTGAGTAAAAAAAAAAAAAAATTCCATATTGCTAATCTAACCTCCTACTTTTATGTTTTCAAATTGAATTTGTTAGTAAAAAAAAAAAAAACAGTTTTATTCTTATAAAAAATTAGATAGAAAAAAATGCAAAGGTTATAAAAGAAAACATTATTATTACAGATGTGATACAAAATACAGTATAATACAAAGCAATCGATATTAACTTTTAGTGTACATAAAAATCATGAGACAACTACTACTATTTAAAGAAAATTCGGAATGATTCAATAATACACATGAAATACAATAACACTATTTTAACTGAAATAAAAAAAAAAAAAAAAAATTCTTTGAAAATAAATACTTTTTTTTTTTACAAATGAAAAAAAAAAAAAAATGAACAACATAAATTTATCGCGAATATAACAATAATTATTGAAAACTAATATTTTTACATTTAAATTTTCAAAAAAAATTAAACATTTTAATAATAATAATAATATTTTGTGACTAGGAGAGAAAAAATTTTTAACTTTACCTATTTCAGGTTGTTTATACTCTTTTAAACTACATTTATTAACTATTTTAATTAATCTACAATTAACTGAGAAATTAATTAAATCACTTTTTTTTTTTTTTGGCAAGGTATTATTATTATTATTATTGTTTACAATTTTGAAAATGTTATATTAAATATAAATGTGAAAAACTAAATAATAATTATTTTTTAAAAAATACTCGGCAAGGTATCAGGCTATTATAACTACAATATATAGTAAATTCTCTCTATCACTTTTTTTTTTTTTTTTCTTTTAAATTTTTGAGAGAAATTTTTTTAATAACATAAAAGTAATTAAGTCTATAAATATATATATATTTATATATATATATGTTTTATCATTACAGAGATACGTTAAGTGTAATAAAATACACATACAAAGGACAAAACACTGAAAAAAAAAAAAAAAAAAAAACTATAGCGTCAATTACAAATAAAATACAGCATCAAAACAAGAAAAAAAAAAAAAAAAATTTTTTTTTTTCCTCCTTCTTATGTTTTTATCCTACATTAACTTATATAGAAAGCATTTAAGTTTTTTTTTTAAATTTTTACAAAACTGCAAAAAGACTTCTTTCTCTTTTCAATAATAATTATCCTTTTTTTTATGCTCGTCCATTATTTGGAAGTACGGAAAATTATTAACGAAAACTCTCAGAAATTTCTTTCCGAGTCTGAACACGTCTGAACGAGTCTTGCTCTTCTTGTATTCGAAACTTATGAGGGTTTCGCTAATTTTAGTAAAACCAAAATAATACAATGCGAGTTAAAAATTAAAGGGGAAAAAAAAAAAAAAAAAAAAAAAAAAAACAAATTAATACGATTTTCGTGAAAATTATACAATGTGGATTCAATGAAAAAATTTATGTTTTTTCATCCTCGAATGATTTCACATCGGTTTTTTCTGCATCTGATGAAAGAGCTTCACGAAGAGCCGAAACGCAACTTTTCGGTATTAAGGTTCCTAAAACAATAATAATAATAATAATAATTTTTAAATTTTTAAATCAAAAGAATAGGGATGATTTACTTAAACGACCCACATTATACGTACCCACAATTTTAATACCTTCTGCCGTTTTTAACCTTACCACTTGCATTTTTGTATTATGACCAGTTTTTGCGGCCAAAACCCCTTCTATTCGAGCCCACACGGAAAGTACAGACCCGGATAATATGTTGTAAGTTCTTCTTCTTAAACCTACTTCACAGTCTAAATTTAATGTTACATTTTTACAATTTCCTTTCCTGAATTTAAAAAAAAAAAAAAAAAAAAAAAAAAAGTTTAAAATTAAATGTGATTATATTAAATATTAGGAGGGAGGGGGGGGGGTAGTTTATACTTACCAATATGCATGAGAACATGTCGTCACGCTCGCATTATACTGTTGAATCCAATGACTTTGTGCATTTTCCTCATCGACTTTTTTATATTTTTTCTCCAATTCTGCCAGAGTTTCTTGTCGTAATTGAAGACCCGTGTTCGGCCTGTAAATTGTATATAACGAATCTTTTTTCGAATCCGATTTTTTAGACTTTCCACCATCGACGGCGATGGCTAAAATTGCAGTTTGTTTACTATTACGAATCTAAAAAAAAAAATGGAACATTATTCATTTAAAAAAAAACTAATGCAAAGTATTTATCGTATCAATATAAATTATAATAAAATAAAACCTGATGTGAAAGCCAAAATCCTTCTTTTGAGCCGTTGAGCTTTGTAAACTTTTCAAGTGCTTCTTCCCAACTCATGCCACGTTCAACGTGAACAATATGAAGTTCGGTCGTGGCTACTCCCGTAGCATGCTTTCTTAAAAATGAATATAATTTAACTCTTTTAACATCTTCTCCTGCGGTACCCAAATCTGCGAAAAAAAAATAAATAACATTAATATTTATTAATTTCAAATAAAAAAAAAAAAAAAAAAAAAAAAAAAAAAAAAAAAAAAAATTTTAAAATAAAAAAATGTTACCCAATATTCCAAGATCAAATCTTCCAGTTTTTTTGGCTTGTTTAATTATTTCATTAAGCGTGTCCGTGAAATATTTAAAAAGCCTGTTTTGCAGATCAACTGGCATACCTAGTATTCTGTTTAAAAATTTCGACATATTATTATAGTCTTTGTCAAGCATTAATACACCGGGCATAGATTCGGAATTTGTTATTACGCCAACTCCAACTAAGGCATCGGCCACATCTGAAAAAAATGCATAATATATATATATTAATATTTATTAATAACAATTTGACGTCATAAACACATTTTATTTTTTAAATTCGATAAGGAGTAAATTAATACCTTTGAAAAAATCTTTTCCTTTCGGGTAGTCTTGAGGAGGAGGCACCAAAGGTTGTTCGTAACCCATAATTGTTTTCATTGTTGCTTCCAAAGCGGCTCGACCGTATTTATTATCAATGTTAAACCTCGACAAATCTCGCGTTTCAGTGGCTCGTCTATCACCGTGAGTGAGAGCACCCTACACATTAAAATAAAATTTAAAAAAAAATAAAAAATTACAAAAAAGAATAAGAAAAAAAAAAAAAAAAAAAAAAAAAAAGGGAAAATCTTTTAATAATTTACAAACCAAGCTTTCCAATCGTTTAGCCACGATAGATGCAAATCTTCTTTCTCCTGCTAAATCGGATATAAGGAAAAAATATTCTGGTGCATTTACTTGATTACTCCTGTGTGTACGACCTAAAATACAGCAAATAAAAAAGTTTAGTGTAAAGAGGATTCTAATTTTAAAAAAAATAGTATTTGAAAATTGCTTACCAAATTGTTGTATAGCTCTATCTGCACTCCACGGTAACTCTAAAGTTATGTGAACTCTTCTCCTTTGATTTCTTGCTCTTCTATCACTTTGTAACGAAATGCCACTTGAAGCAGCCTCGGAAATTATAGCTACATCTTTTTCCCCATCCATAAATCTTTGTTTTTCCGTTAAATTCAACGTCTCTAAAGGAACATCGGTTTCAGATCGACTTTCGTATTGTATTCCATCTTCGGTTTGAACCACGCGACCTTTTCTTCCGGTCATCTTTAAAAAAAAAAATAATTTAAAAAATTTACTCATCATGAAAACAATAATATTTCAACTTTTACTCTCAAGTTCTTACTTCAGCAACATTCTCGGGGCCGCCCAACTCATCGATTAACCCCCCCCCCAGTATTCGGAGGAAGTCGTTCTCCCAATTTTTCAATTTGCTCTAAAAGTTCTTCTTTCATATTACAAGCTCGTTCGATAGCATCACGAGGTGGAAATGAGTAATTATCTTCGTTTCCATTCGTTTTATTGGTCGATAATTTTTTACTAATAATTTCTTTTATTTTATCTTGAGTCGTTTGCCTTTTTTTCGGTTTGTACTTGGTTTGTTTCTTTTTTCTGGCACCTCCGACCCAAGGGTCCGCTAAAAATATGAAAAATAGTGGTTCTAATAACTGTAAACAATGTTTTTCAAAATAAACATTTTTAAATGTACCCGCATCACTGTCTGAATCACTGTAAAAAGGATTGCAATCGCTAGAGGGATTAGATTCTTCGCTTTGACCTTCGGATTCGGGAGTCTCGCTGTCACCAGATATTTTAAATTCTGAATCTACAGAATCATCACTATCTTCTTCCGTGTCTGAACTTGTAATTTTAACTTTTTTTGAAGCTCGTTGTGCGGCTTGCCTAACTGAAATTTTATTATCTCAATGATAAATGTCCTATAAAAACATGATTAAATAAAAAATGGCGACTTTATTACCGGGCTTGCGCTTGCCAGAAGATCCGCTAGCGATGTCATCAAATCCATTTTTAGCTTGTTTTCCTTTTTTGTCATCCTTCTTTGCAATATCTAAACCAAGTAATCTGTGAATGCGGCTACGATCCGGTGCGGGAAAATGTTTTTCAACTAACGATTGTAACACTCCCCTAAAATTATTTTTTATTTATGGTTATCAGGTTATTCGTATTAGTACATTTAAACGCGTACTTACTTTGCAGTGGATACAAAATCGGTTAGTTCGCCATCATCTCTTTCAAGCTGATCTAAAGTTCTGGCTTCTCCAGTTGACTGAAGACCTATTACCACACATTTTCCACATTTCACTGCCTCGCGAGCTACATTTACAGCGTATTTCACTTTTGCAGCTATACATAAATATTTAAAAAATCGCTGATGAGATGACCAAAACTGGCCCCACATAGTCTTTTTCATACGATTTTCCGCGTCAATCAGTTCCGCGGCTTCTGTGAATTTTTGCATTGCTTCAACCCAAAGTTTAACCGAATCATCGTAGATTTTAATGAATTCCGGTGTCAGTGGAACTTCTTCGATCTTGAATGTCACGCCGTGAAAGCTCAGCTGTCGAGCTATGTACATACCTCTTAATTTCATGTCCATTGCAACTATTTCCATGGCCCCAACACCCCTAAGTATTATTAATATTTAAATATATTTATAAATGTATAACTTTAATATAACATTATAATAATCAAAACCATTTTTTCAAATACCTTTTTTCAACGGCTGTGATAAAATCATTGAAATCAGGAAAAGGGGTTCCTTCTCCCCACATACCAAGTCGTACCATATACGCCATGTTTCTGGGTTCACTTGCACCCGTTGCCGATGCGTAAACTACCCGGGCGTTTGGTAACTTATTTTGAAGTTCAAGTACGGTCAAACCTGTTTTTGTAGGCTTACTCGAACCAACAGGACATAAATTTTTAGCCCTGTGACATTCGTCGAAAACAATCTACACATTAATTAAAGAATAAAATTTTTATTTATTTTACTGTGTTATTTAAAAAAATTTTTTTTTTTTTTACACAAAACAATCACAACAGATATAAATTGTAGAAAAGGATACGACTCCATCAAAATCATTGCCACACCACTGTAATAATTGCTTTAATCTTGTTTTATATTTGCCTCCAGATTGAGTACTTTCTCCGATTAAAGCAGATAAGTTGAAAAATACTCCCTTCTTTACGTTATTATTGGTGGGGGGATGAAATTTTTGCGTATTTAAACTTTAAAAAAAA